AGAAATGAATGTTTGTCCAACTGTGAAATTAAATTCCTCAATCTGGTAATGTAGAATCATAGCACGCTATTTGATTGAATCGAGTCCACGAACCATCTGAACAACATCCCACTCGGGCACCCCGCCACTGCCCGCCATCCCCGTAACGCCACATTTCCCATGGCCAATCCACCTAGCCTGAATGTCGTTTTGGACTGTGGAAGGAAACTGGAGCACTCTGAGGAAATCCATGAAGACACCTGGACAATATGCAAACTCCACACACGGTTGCCTGAGGGTGGAATTGAACCCGGTCCCTGGTGCTGAGGCAGCAATACTACTTGCTGAGCCACCATGCTGCCTATTGTGATCCCATGCAAGGAAATTTGAGGGGAAATGCTGCGCAGCTATGATTGTGACCACATTCCTCGTGTTGACATTTATCCTATTGTATGCTTTGAGCAATAACTCATTTGATTCATTATTAATATAATTCATTATAACTGGGATCAAGTGATACTCTTGGTAGTTGGGGCATTCTTAAGAGGGCAATCGGGAGGGCAAAAAGGGGTTATGAGTGCCTTGACAGAAAGTTAGGGGTAATCCAAAGAAATTCTACAGTACATTTTAGAGCAGAAGAGCAACTAAGAAAAGAATAGGCCCCTTAAAGATCAATGAGGTTGTCTGTGTAGAACCACAGGAGATGTGTATCTCGCATTTTTACTTACTGTGGATAAAGACATGGAGGCTTAGGGAACTTGGAAATAAATATATTAATGTGGATATCACATTACAGAAGAGATGGTATTAGAGGTCCTAGAAAACATGGGTGGATAAATCTCTGGGACCTGATCAAGTGTATCCCAGGATGTTGTGGGAATAAGGAAGAAACTGCAGGGCCCCTGGCAGAGAGGTGCTGCAGGACTGGAAGGTGGCTAATGTTGTACCTTTAAGAGAGGCTGTAAGTAGAAACCTGGAAACTATAGACCTGTGAGTCTGACATCAGTGGTGGACAAAAACAGAAATTGCTGGAAAAACTCAGCAGGTCTGGCAGCATCTGTGAAGGAAATAGGAGTTAATGTTTCAGATCCAGTGACCCTTCTGAGCTTTTCCAGCAACTTTTTTGTTCCTGAATTAAACATCTCAGTTCTTTTTGGTTTTTATTAGTGGCGGATAACTTGTGGGAGGGGATTCTGAGAGGATTTGAATGCATTTGCAGAGGCAAGGACTGATTAGGGACAGTCAGCATGACTTTGTGTGGGAAACAGTCTCTCAAACTTGGTTGAATTTTTTTTGAAAATGTGACTGAGAAGGTAGATGAGAGCATGGTGGTAGACACTGTCTATATGGATTTTAGTAAAGCCTTTTGAAGTTTCGCACAGTAGACTAGTTAGTAAAGTTAGATCATATGGGATTTGGGGAGAGCTTGCCAATTAGACAAGAGACAAAGGGCAGTAGTGGATGATTGCTGGTCACAGGCATCCAGTCTGAAAAATGGTGTTCTGCAGGGATCAGTGCTGTGTCCACTGTTTATTATTTACTTAAATTATTTGGATGAGAATCTTGGAAGCATGGTTATTAAGTTTGTGGATGACCCCTAAATTGGTGGTATAGTTGACAGTGAGGAAGGTCGAGGTGGGGATGCTCAGTTGGTGCAGACTCAGCACCGAATAGACTGCTTTCTCACTGTGTAGGGGTTCCAATTCTAATTCGGCCAATGGCTTGAGGAATGGCAGATGGAGTTTAAGTTAGATAAATGCAAGGTGTTGCATTTTGATAAGACATCAAGCACAGGACCTATGCAATTAATGACAGGGCCCTGGGGAGTGTTGTTGAACAGAGACCTAGGGGTTTGGGTATGTAGTTCTTTGAAAGTTCTGTCAGAAGTAGACAGACTGGTAAAGTGGTGTTTGGCATGCTTGTCTTCATTGCTGAAACCACTGAGTACAAGAGTTGAGATGTCATTGAGGTTGTAGGTGAGGCCACTGGAGTACTGAGTACAGTTCTGGTTGCCTTGCTGTTGTTAAATTGGAGAAGATGCAAAAAACATTTACAAGGACATTGGGAATGGTGGGTTTGAGTTATAAGGAGAGGCTGGATAAGCTGGGACTTCTTTCACAACAGCGTGGGGGTTTGAGGGGTGACCTTGGAGGTTATAAAACCATGGGGTGGATAAATAAGGGGAGTAACAAAAGCCTTTCCCCAGGGTAGGGGAGTTCAGAGCTAGGGGGCTCATTTAAGGTAAGGAGAAAGCTTTAAAAGCAATCTAAGGGGCAAATTTGTTTTTTTTTAAACAATGGTTCATATGTAGAATGAACTGCCAGAGGGAGTGGTAGATGAAAGTACAGTTAACACATTCAAAAGATATTTGGACAGGTATGTAGAGGGATATGGGCCAAATGCTGGCAAATGGGACTAGTTTAGTTTGGGAAACTTTCTAAGTATGGACCAAAAGGTCTAGATCCATGCTGTATGACTAAGTGTATTAATACAGTACTTTGAGTTTTGATAGTGGTGTACTTCCTGGATGATAGCTAAAGCTCCAGTTGGAGATGGGCATGTCTCCTATCCAATTATTTAGAAAATGTGACCCCCAGCCAGCTTTGTATACAAGTCTTCATGTGGCATAGGGTATCTGTCTAAGCAAGAAGCTCTGACCACAGGGGCAGACCGATTTTAGAATTGGGCCACACCAGTAGTCCCATTCAGCAATTGCACTGGCCATATGATTCCAAATTTTTCGGGACCTTCTAATGCAGCCTCTACTTATGCACATAGGGCATAGAGGACCAGATATGCCTTTTTAAGCATTTAGGCCGAGCCTCTGGATCTACATAGATCTTGGCCCAGGTGCCTTTTATCCGCCCAAGGTCCTTTTGGAACACTTCAGGATACGTCCTAATGACTTTGTATGTAGCATGACTTTCCATTTTTAAGATCTGTTGCCAATCCATGCAGATTTTCTGTAACCACTTTTTTTTTTTTTTCCCCTCTTTTTCCCCCCCCCCCACCAAAAAAAAGTCGGGACCTGGCCTTTGTACCACCAGTAAAGGGATCTATTGTGCATGCTTAACTGGAGTTACACTGGGATATACTGGGACTACAAGTGGCCAATCTAACCTTGCTGTTTTGCATGCTTAAAGGCAAGATACCCAATCAGAATTTCCAAAAGGTTTTCTCCCCAACAATCAATAGAGGCACTTGTGTCAACAGGGCAAGGCAGATCTGCGTGACATCCTACCACCCTTTCCCAAACAGTCTAAATTAGGTGGTCCAGACTTTCTCAAATAGCATGAAAAAGTAAACTATGGGGTCTTTGGAAACTAAGTTTGCATGTTTCCTCTTCAGCTCTAGGACAATACAACATGTGGCAATGGGCATAACCCTGGCAGAACTATTGATGGACTGATGCCTTCAGATTAAGCTTAGATTTTCAGACTTGACCAAACTAAGGTGGCAAGATTGAAGTAAAACAAGAGGCCCAGAAAAGGGGCCATGATGGGCATTGGCTAGCTATCAGGAAATATTGTCCATGTAGAAACTTCAGTGACTGCTGTCCATGCATTCAGGGCCTTGCACAATTGTACAAGACGAGTATCTTGCATGGTAAAGCACACTGACCACTTGTAAGCAGGAACTCTTGAGGCAGTTGTTTAGACAGACATGCCACCATCCGCATCCTGTGGAGAGAAAATGCCACCCATTAAAAGCACAAGACCCAGTCCTGATGACTACAAGGAATCTGAACCTGTGATAGAAACAGGGGGCAGAAGCTCAGTTGGAGATCACCACTGAAGACGAGCCCCCCTGCAATGGAGGATCTTCCCTACTAACTATACACCCGCTGACTAGACTGTGAAGGCAACAGGAATGGCGCCACTGGCAAAGCAACACAAGAGGCCTCCGACAAGGGGGAATTCCCAGACTTGGATGGGGAGAATGTAACAACCCCTACAAGGTCCATGGTGAACCACTCACTGATCTCATTGAGTAAGAGTTCCCATGGTAACAGACAATGGCCTTCCCAACTGGATCTTTCACCTGAACCTTTTAAAAAGCAGACCCAAGGGGCTCCTGTGGTGCAGTGGTAATGTCCCTACCTCTGAGCCAGGAGGCCTAGAGTCAAGTCTCATCTTCTCGACAGGTGTGTGTCATAACATCTCTGAGCAGGTTGAGTAAAATAAAGCAGACTCAAGGGTTCCTTTCCAATCATGTAATTTTATCCTGGCCTTGACCTTTTGTCTTGCATCATTATCACATTAATTCTACTGTTTCTGCAGGTGTTGCCAGACCTGCATTGTTCAGCAAACAACATGAAATTGTCACATTGCATGTGAAAAGGATTAATTGTCATGAACTAACTTCCAACAGATAAAGTAATAGATCATGTAAATTGTGGAGCGGGGTAGTCAGTAATTTCTGTATTCTAATGTCTTAATGTACAACACTGATTATTTGAAGGGCAACTGGACTGAATGTCAACTCTGCTTTCTCTTCATAGATGCTATCAGACCTACTGTTTTTATTGATTTTTCTTTGCTTCATTGGTCATGTCTTTATCTGTGTGGATCCTAAATTTAAGAATTCCTTCCCTGTACCTCTCCACCTCTCTAATGTAGTCCTGCAAAGCTGCCTCTCACCTCCTTTAATATCTCCTTTTTACCAAGTTTAGTTTGCTAACACTCCTGTAAAGTAGCTTGGGAAGTTGCACTGTGTGGAAGGTTCTATATACATGTAAGTTGTTGTTCTTAATTGTTTTGAGATCTGAGGGTTAGGATTAAATGAAAATACTTTAACATGATGGATGGTGCTCCAATGTGTTGATGGTAGCCTATTATTTAGTTGCTGTGCCTGGACTAAGTGTATTATATATGCTTAATATCCATAGTTCCAACATTGTTTTCATTGATTTAGAAATTGTTTTTAAACAAATACACAAAGCACTACTGGGTAGCAAGTGTTTCTGTTTAAATTGAGCATAAGCTGGAATGTAACTGCTATAAACACTTGACATTTTTCAGATCCCAGCTCTTTATCATGTGACCAATGGATTTTGAAAAAGCCTTTGCTGCCTAGAAGTCATGTACAGAAAAGCAAAAGGTCAGTAAATCACAGCAGTATAAACTTTGTTTTCTTGCCACAAACACACTTTTTGATGTACTCCACATACAAGTTAATGTTTCAGCCACAACATTGTTAGACATGCATTCATAGTTGCAAATTTTAACTTCAGAAATGCATGTTTTACTTTCTTCTGGTACTGGGCAGAAGACATCAAGCGGGCAATATGGGGTATGCTACAAAGAATTTTAGGCATCTGTTTTTTCAGATGCTGATGAGTGTGACCACATGTGCTAGTTCATATTTTATACTTTGCATGTAAGGTGACTCCCATTTTTTTTAAGTTTTTTTTTATTATTTTGGGGTTTGAGATCAATATCTGTGGTAAGTCATATTCAAGGTAGTTTTTGAATTATTGAAAAATATATCTAATGTCTTTGCTTCTAAATCAATTTACAAGTAAGTGCACAGTAAGTTCTCATTTTAAAGTTGAATCAGTCAGTGTTTTCCAGTTTTTAATGTCATTAACAAGCTAGTGACACTATATATTTGTTTAAAGTTGAGAGTTTCAGATTACTGTTTGCCACATCATGGTCTGCCTGTACTTTAGACCTTTCCCTGTGCTTATGCTCTTGCAACTCAATTCCTGCTAGCCTTCATCCACAGTTCCTGCCACTATCCTCGGTCCTCGGTCCTCCCTCTTGACCTCCCCACTTCCACTGACTCCTGTTCCCACCTTTTTGTCCTTCTCTTTCAAGAGTCCAGTATTCACTTCTGTTCTGGCTGCCATTCAGAACTTGTACTGAAGTTCTGCCACTAGGTGGTGCCCAGAAGTTGAATAGTGCAGGTAGTTCTGCCAGTTTCTTCCATTTAACAGGAGCCAGGTCAACTAAAATATGTTTAACTGGTAACTTAGTGTAATTGCATTTATGGTTTTTTTTGAACTACTTTTGTTCACAAATAGAGGCAGTTAGAAATGTATACTACAACTAAATTTTCTCTTGGGAAAAGTCCTAAAATAACTAACTGTACAGTGCTTGTGTTTTGATTTTGATTTTATTTTCCAAATACTTCAGCTAGAACGACACAGTATTTACTATACTGTACTTGTGAAGTAAAGTTATATTTTTTTTTGAGAGAAAAAAGTCTGCAGGAAACTAAGTCTGGCTTTGATATACATTCCAATGGGAAACAGTGCTTCACTTTAAAGTCATGATTTTCAGGAATGCAGCCACAACTTTTAAGTGAGAATTTGCTGTATCTTGCATCATTTGCAATATGCAGCAGGCTCCTTTAGAGTCAAAATATCTGTTTATATCAATGTTTTTATTTTTTTTTTAAAAGTCTGTACACGCTTCCTGTCCTTAAATTTCATTCCAATTGTTCTGAATTTGTTCCTGTTGTACCTCCTCTGTAGTGTTGCTTCCAGATTATACCTTCTCTCAGGCACACTTGTCTTAGAATGGCCACAAAATAAATTTGTTAGAATCATTCCAGGGCTTAAAGGGTTCCTTTTTAAGATTGTGTATTCTTGGGTTGAATTTTTAAGTGGTTGAGTGATCTAATCAAGAATTTAGTTATTAAATTATTCCATTGGGTAAATACAGAAACTACTGTTTCTGCTAACAAGGGAATGTAGAATGAGTACAATTTTATTTCGGAGGAGTAGGCCATTTATAGACAAAGGCACAAAATCCATAACTCGTCTCCAGACAGCTATGAATGCTGCATCAATTTTGGATTTTCAGACAGCTAATTAGTTTGGTTAATGTGTCAAGCAGTATAAAACAAAAGTAGGTAAATGGAGTTAGCAAGAATTGCAGATGCTCGAGTCAGTCAATGCTGGAGGAGCAGGAGAGTCTACATTTTGGGCCTAGACATTTCTCCATGACTGGTGAGGGGTCTGGACCTGGGACATCTGTTCTCCTCCTGGTGCTGTCTGACCTGCTGTGTTCCTCCAGTTCCACGCTGTTGACCAGGTTAATGGAGTGATGGAACTGCGGTACAAATCATTCATAATATAACTGCTCAAGGAGCTAAGTTACTTACTTTTATTCTTGTGTAACAAATCTGCTTTTGAATCGAGACTTTCCTGAAGAGGTGATTTTGGGTAGTTCAGGTTAGTGATCAAAACAGTCAATTCTCTTTTTTTATTTGATAACTGGCAGCAGCCCAGTGTCTCCTTTTTATGGTTTTAAGTTATCCCTTTTTATAACGTTTGCACAAATTACTTGACATTTAGATCTCCTGTATTTTTATAGTGCATCTTATAACCAATGTAAAGTGTTTTTTTAAGCTAATACCTAAACAACAAAATAACTCCATGGCAAAATACTATTCTATTCTAATTATTAAATTATTCTACAAATAATATGTAGTACTTTAATGTTTGTGTTGTGCATTGAAATGCAGGCCCAGTATGGCACATAAGACAATGAGAAGAAACTTTGTCTAAAAAGTAAAATATGACTAAGTTGTTTACAAACTAACAATTTTTGGAAAAGAGCATTTATAAGAACACTTTAAGTTTCAAAAATGTTTAGGATCACTAAACTTTTAAATTACTTTACTTTTCAATTGTATTTATGTTACCAAGTTTTTGTTTAGTGAGATAGCCAGCCTATCAAAAGTCTATTATGAAAATGACGAACTCCATTTCTGGGGTTCCCCATATGATGCATTCCCAGTCTGTAACCATCCAGGAAAGTGAGACAGAAAATTTGAGTTGAAATATTTTCTCTTCTCCAATTTGGTTGCTTAAAATCAGAGGAGATAACACTAATGAGCAATGCCCCTGACTTACCCCTTCTCAAATTATATTTTAGGGTGAATCTATTGAAATGATGGTACGGTGGCTTAGTGGTTAGCACTGCAGCCTCGCAGCGCCAGGGACCTGGGTTCGATTCCTTGGGTGACTGTCTGTCTATCTGTGTGGAGTCTGCATTTTCTGTGTCTGTCTGTGTGGGTTTCCTGCCACACTCCAAAGATGTTGGGTGGATTGACCATGCTAAATTGCCCATAGTATCTGGAGATGTGCGGGCTAGGGGGTGGATTAGCAGTGGGAAATGCAGGGTTACAGGATAGGGTTTGGGTAGAACGCTCCTTAGAAGGCTAGCATAGACTTAATGGGCCAAATGACCTACTTCCAAATGATTCTGTGGAAAATCTTAATGTTTTTAAGATACACAACCATTTATGTCAAAAGCTTTATCTTGAACAAACTGGATTGTAATAATGTGCTACAATACCAATGAACTAATCTAAGTTGCAAAGCTTTTGTATTCTAGTGAGGGATCACTAAAATATAAAGTCAGTGCTGTGTGGAATTTAAGAAAGACAGAACATGCACTTATGTAGCTTCTTTCACAAGGAACTATTTCACAGACAATTAGAAGTTTAAGTGGCATCATTGTTACAAGGAAATGCAGAACCAAACTGTTCACAACAGGAACCACAAAATGTGACCAGATAGTCTATTTTAGTAATTTTCATTGAGGTATTTGAGAGCAGAGAAATCTTCTCTTCAGGTAGTCCCATGAAATCATTCACATCCACCTGAAAAGATTGGGAGAAGCGCATTTTTCTTTTTAATGTCAGATCTGACAGCATGTTTTGGATTTGATTAACATAATTAATCACTGGCATTCAACTAAAATTAAGTTTGGTATCTTACTAAAGTGCTGATTTTAAGACCATAACAGATTAAGTAATAGATTACGGAAGTGGCATGATTAGCTCTTCTGCCTTTTCCTGTGGCAGTTATTTGAAGTTTCACATTTGAGTGGTATGTTGGCCTTCGTCGTGAGAGGTTGAGAGTACAGGAACAGGGATGTGTTCTTGCAGTTGTATGGGGCCTTGGTGAGACCACACCTGGCATATAGTGTGCAGTTTTGGCCTCCTTTCTGAGGAAGGATGCTCTTTCTCTCAAGGGAGTGCAGCAAAAGTTTATTGGGCTGATTCTGGTGATGGCAAGTTTGATGTATGAGGAGAGATTGACTGACTAGGTTGGGTTTGTTTTTCACTAAGTTCAGATGAGTGGGTTGGGGAAGAGAAGAAAAAGGTTGGGGGGGCGCAGTGGGGACAGATCTCAGACTTAAAGTTCTAATTGGACTGGACAAGGTAGATGCAGTGAGGATGTTCCCAATGGTGGGTGTGTCTAGAACCAGGTGTCACAGTACGAGGATTCGGGCTAGACTATTTAGGATGGAGATGAAGAGAAATTCCTTCACCCAAAGAGTAGGGAGCCTGTGGAATTCATTACCACAGGACGTAGTCGATGCCAAAACATTGAATGTATTCAAAAGGCAGCTAGGTATAACACTTGGGGCAAGTGGTCAAAGGTTAGGGGGAGAAAACAGGATTAGGCTATTGAGATAACATGGTGTAGAGCTGGATGAACACAGCAGGCCAAGCAGCATCAGAGGAGCAGGAAAGCTGATGTTTCGGGTCGAGACCCTTCTTCAGAAATGGGGGAGGGGAAGGGGATTCTGAAATAAATAGGGAGGCGGATAGAAGATGGATAAAGGAGAAGATAGGTGGCGAGGAGACAGACAGGTCAAAGGGGCAGAGTTGGAGCCAGTGAAGGTGAATGTAGGTGGGGAGTTAGGGAGGGGATAGGTCGGTCCAGGGAGGACAGACAGGTCAAGGAGGCGGGATGAGGTTAGTGGGTAGGAGATGGGGGTGGGGCTTGAGGTGGGAGGAATGGTCAGGGAGGCGGGGACTAGCTGGGCTGGTTTTGGGATGCGGTCGGGGGAGGGAAGATTTTAAGCTTGTGAAGTCCACATTGATACCCTTGGGCCGCAGGGTTCCCAAACGAAATGAGATGCTGTTCCTGTAGCTTTCGAGTGGCGTCATTGTGGCAATGCAGGAGGCCCAGGATGGACATGTCGTCCAAGGAGTGGGAGGGGGAGTTGAAATGGTTCACGACTGGGCGGTGTAGTTGTTTGTTGCGAACTGAGCATAGGTGTTCTGCAAAGCGGTCACCGAGCCTCCGCTTGGTTTCCCTGATGTAGAGGAGGCCACAACGGGAACAGCGGATACAGTATACCACATTAGCAGATGTGCAGGTGAACATCTGTTTGATGTGGAAGGTCTTCTTAGGGCCTGGGATGGGGGTAAGGGGGGAGGTGTAGGGGCAGGTGTAGCACTTGCTTCGGTTGCAGGCAAAAGTGGTGGGGCTGGAGGGGAGTGTGGAGCAGACAAGGGAGTCATGGCTGTTGAGTTGGACAATCAGCCATGATCATGAAGAATGGCGGAGCAAACTCTATGGGCCAAATGGCCGTCTCCTGCTTCTGTCTTCTATGTTAGAATGGAAAACAAGTGACAAAACCTAATGTGCTACATTTAAAAATTGTAATAGAATGCAAAACTACTTGTATTTTCTATATTTCTAATCAAACGCAGCTGAATGTTTTAATTGACCTGGCTCCTGTTAATGGAAGTAGTTTAACATTTTTAGTCGTTTGTAAGCAGGGAATTTGAACAATAATTACAAAAAAATGAAATGAAAAGCAGAACTTCAAGCTGAGCACTTTTCATTGTTTATATGCTGTTAAATCTGTAGAATGTTACAGTGCAGAAGGAGATTGTCTTATCATACTCACGCTGGATCTTTTGGTAGGGATAACTTGTTAATCCTAAAGCCCTGCAAATTTTTCTTTTGACTGATCCTGTTGAATCTGCATCCAGTTTTTTTGGTAGCAATTGCCACATTATAAAGGCACACTTAGTAAAATAAAATCTCATGATGCTTTGAGTCCTTTGCCAATGACCTCAACTTTGTCTACTGCTCGCTGAACCTTCTGCTGCAACATAGAATTCTATTTAAAAGAAAAAATTCCTTTTCTTTGTGGTTTGAAGGCAAAGCAACTTAATATGGTACCAGAATTATCCCAAAGTGAAAGATTAGCTCAGAGCACCTACTCTCTTGTCCCATGTTTCCAGCATTTTTATCTTGATTTCAAATTACCAGCATCTGCAGAGTTCTACATTCACAACAGTATCTACCTGTGTAAACATGTGCTTTTGCATCCTTCCGGTGATGATCCTGTAACTCATGTATCTTCCAGCTCTCAGCCTGTATTGCAGGGAACTTTCTACTTCCTGGTTTTTAAATTCTACAAACATTGCTGTTTTACTGTAATACAAGATCCCAAGCTTTTCAAATAACTTCAGACTTTTAAAATGAGACTGAACTTTAGATGCCAATAATTCTGCCTTTGAATTCTGCTCGGCTCGTACCACAAGAATTAATAGCAACTTTTTTTTTTTTTCTTTAAAAGGTTGGCTAAGGAATGTCTAGTTCCTCCTTGCAAAATGCAAGTAACTTTTTTTTTTAAAAAAAGTAGTTTGTGATTATTAAATTATTGAAGGGAGCATGTTACTTTTGAGCATTGTCTGTCTGCTTAATTACATCTATATGTGGCTTTGTCTGTAAATCCTCTTCTGGACCACATGAGTGCATGTATGAATTTGAAAACTTAAAATAAAATTAAAATTTCAGTTGGATAGAAATGTTTGTAACTCTGGGTTTGGGGGGGGGGGGGGCGGGGGGAAAAAAAAAAACCTTGTCATTTTTTATTTATTTGACTTGCTTTAATGTTCTTCCTACCTTCTATAGCTGCACTGGAAACCTTTTAAACTACCCTGACAATTCTACAAATATTAAGCTACATAGAGTGCTATTCTGCATCCAGCTGCAATGCAGACAAATAGTTCAGCTTCAAAAATGTGTGTTGGAGCTGTTTTTATTCAAATTGAGTTTGTCATACATGGTAAATCATCCTATGATTTATGGCTGTAATTGCAGAGAAATTTGGTACCTGAAGAAATCTGTTGACACATCTACATCTACTCGGAGTGAAATTACTGGAAAATGGGTTCCACGGTGTTCTCGGCCTCATGTGTTTCTGCAGAGGTAAAGTTCCTTCCCAAGAAGATTTCTTCTTCTTGTGCAAGATGAGTTGAGCTATCAGTAACAAGCTTGGTCAGTTTTCTTTCCCTTACCAGGTTCAAGTCTCTAGTTCAATGAACCCACAACTTCAATAGTCTTGAAATCCTGCAAGGCTTAAGGGTTGTGATAACTGTCATTTTTAGGAATGATAAAATTGGGTGGAGTCAGAATGGATTTGTGAATTACTTTTGTAACAAACAATTGCAATAGTCTTTAGTACTGCAGTTTACTTGTCAAGCAATAACATTCTAATGTAATTAGATCACAAGACTGTAAGGAACAAGAATAACAGTAAGCCATTCAGGCCCTCACTTCCACTTTCTGCCATTTTCCCCCATAACACTCGGATCCTTGATCAGTAAGGGAATTATCTCCACCTTAAATATACAGGAGGCCTCTACTCCCACAGCTGTCAGGAAAGGAGTTCCAAAGATGCTGTTTTGAGGCTCACTCAACCCAAAATGTTAACTGATTTCTCTCCACAGATGCTGCCAGACCCTGCTGAGCTTTTCCAGTAATGTTGGTTTTTCTGATTTACAGCATCTACAGTTATGCTTTTTATTCATTTTTACAGCCCCCACTCACCCACACAAGTAGATACTCCTGCTCTGTAGGTCTCTGCCTATCTCACTCAGTCACACCCTCCTGTCCCTGACTGAATCAAACCACCCTATCCTAAGTGGTGTGACTACCTCCTAGTGCAAAGAATTCATGTAACTTCCCCTTCCTAATGCTTTATACTGGCTGTAGTTCAGCCACCAGCTCAAACTTTACTAATTGATGTGTTCATCTTGGATCAAGATGGCATTGAAGCACCACATGCTGTAGTATTGTCATCAATTGAACTCCTTAATGTTTTAGTCAATTGTGCTACTTTCCTTATTCATTAACCTTGATAAGGTGTACTCTTAATTTTAACAGTAGGAACAACCTTAGCAGAGACTCTGGCCGGTAGCTCCTTTCTCTGTAATAAAGCCAGAACCAATTCCAATTGACTCCAATGAACCTAGCTGTTTGACTGTATATCAGTGGGGTATTTTCCCCATCTGCAACTGATGCTGACCACATCTTGGTTTTCATACTCTAATTCCTTTTCCTCAGTGATTAGCTGTCATTTTGACTGTGTGGTATGTATTGAGAAAAAGCTTTCATAATTACAAGAATACTGAATCTAGAGCTACCATTCAAAGAGGCAATGCTGTAAATCATGAGTTTTAATGCAGTTTAAGTATTACCAAGTATCTACCTGTCAGTAAGATAAACTTTTTTCTAGACCTTGACTTGCTTTTCATTTTTGCATATGGCAGAGAGCTTTATTTTCAATGAGCATACATTAAACTACACTATTATAACTGCAGGAATCTACGATCTTGTAAGAGAAAAGTAGACGCATTTCTGGCTGAGCATAGAAAAAAGCAACCTCAAAGGACTAAGAAAAGATCAAAGAAGAAACAGCTCTTCATTTTCAAGCTTCCTGAATCTCCATCTTCCATTGTAATCTCAGATAATGAAACTTCAGAAGTAGAGATTAGTACTGTCAAAAGAAAACTTACCTCAGCTGTCCTGAGCAGAGGAGACAGGACCAAAAAAAGCAGCTGTGATTTTTCTGATGACTCTATTACATATGAAAGTGGATTTTACAGCTCTGACTACAAGTCAGTACAGTTTGAAAATAGCACCTCTACAAATGTAGATAAGTTTACATTTGATTTCAGGCCATTGAATTTTGTACCAGATGGAACAGCTGCATTTTCAACTTCTACTTCACTATGTCCTGAAAATCAGTTGTGCCCTCCAAATGAAAAAGGGAGAAAGTGGGCAGGATTACAAAGCAAATCACATTCTTTTGGTTGGTTAAAACCTAGTGGTTTTACTTCTATGATTGCAAAGCTGAAGGCTAGACCTTTGACTACATCAGGTAGTGTTGTTAATGAGACATGATGTGGCTGTTCCTTCAAACTTCCCTTCAATTCACTACAAAGCTCCACACAAACCTGGATATGCACCATATGAGTTTGTTGTACTTTGCTAGATTACTGACTATTTTAAGCTTGCTAGTTTTAATAAATAAATGTTTAAACAGTAACTGGCAAAGGAAATAATGCAAAAGTGACCAATATACCCAAAAATAAGTGGTCATATTGCCTATGACCTTACCATTAATTGTAAATCCTGCCCTTGTTTTATTTTACCAAAATGCAGTACAGCTATTTCTGCTAAAGTGAATTGACTGTAACATGATTGTACAGCAGAAAGTTTATGCTAGTCATAGTTATTTTTTTCAGCAACTTTGATTTTCTAATGGTGATTTCTACAGCATGAGGTCACACAAATGCAACTATCCAAATTAGACTTTATCTGTCACTTCAGCCCATTGACCCAATTGGTGAAGATTTGTCATTTATGTAAATGACAAGTGGACACAGTACTGATCCCTGTCTGGGAAAACAACCCTCCACAATCACTGTCAAGTGGAAAGTGTTACATGTATCAGATCAAGGTCTGGGCAGATATAGTTGGGGTGAGTTAAGTGGCTAACTGTTCAGGAGGAAACGTTTCTTTATTTGAAGAGCAGAACAAGCATTTCTGACATCGGATCCCAGAGGACTCTCCCTTCTAGCAGCCATAGTTCTGGGGAATTCTTGTGTATAACCCTCACCTGGCCTGGAGTGACAACATTTTGGGCAAAGCAAAATCTAGTGCATTTTTTAAATAGTAGAATATCAATCCTATTAAGAAACAAGTTTAACACTTCCAGCTGAATTCCACAGTACCAGTAAGTTTCTAGGGGTAGTGAGCATAAAAGAAACTTTACATGTGCTACTAAGATAATGTTTCCTCCTTTGAACCAGATGGTTCTAGAGAGTTTCTTTCCACTTTTAAATCTTTCACAGTAGTTACTGTGTCATTTCTATTAGGGATCTCATGCTCTGGTTAAAAAGTGCTTGCTATAAATAGGCCAAGGAACTTGATTTTGTCCTAGCGTTAAATCAACCAAACAGTCTGCCAGCCATTAGCAACTGTTTCTCTTGATTGCTTAAGCCCGATATTCTAAATTGACTTGAACCCGTATCAAATTTCCTCTTTGCTTCTCATAACTGTTGTTTCAAGTCTATCCACAATTAATCCCTTATCCCCAGAGCTATTCCCAGTAGAGAGAGGATGAAATCAGTGAGTCAAATACAAAGGACTGTTTTTTTCAAAATCTTGACTAAAGGTCTATAGGGAGATAAGATTCTGCCTTGAGATACCAATTGAGTCATAGTCTTACAGCAAGACAACAGACCCATTGATCTAACTGATTCAAGCTGAAGAAGATTCCTAAACTACACTTATCCCATTTCTCTAAAGCTATATACTTCCTAATGTGCAGTTCCAAGAATTGGCTGAAATTATATTTATGTAGTTGTGGCTTTTATACTTAATCAGCTCAACGCTGAGTAGAAGTATTCTTAAACATTGCAGGATTGATTACTATACATAAACCCTGAGACACTGGCCTAATTCTGTTCCAACATTCAATGGTGGTTAATGTTTCTCGACCATACACTTTTGCCTTCTCCCTTCTCCCTATAATTATCTGTTGAAAAAAACCTTTCAGTGGGCTTCTGCCAAGATAAATACAGGATCCCAGAGGATACCTGTCAAATCAACTCCAGGACATCTCTGTAGGAGTTCCTCACCTACTTCAACAAATCTTACCTCTATCAAAGGTTCAGCACCGTTTGACTTTTCAGATACTGAAGTAGTCCATGTTCAAATGCAACAAGGCTTGGGATGTCAACTACAAAGTAACTTTGAGGCTAGGCAATGACTATCTCCACAGAGACAATCTACCCACTTTTTGACATTCAATGGCATTGCCCTCACTGAATCCCCGCTGTCAACATTCTAGGGATTACCACTGCCCAGAAATTCAACTGGACTCATTATACAAACATGGTGGCTACAACAGTAGGTCAGCGGCTAGAAAAACAGCAGCACGTTACTCACCTCCTGACTCCCCAAAACCTGTCTAACATCTACAATGTACAAGTTAAAAGGTGTGATGGGATACTCTTCACCTGTCTGGATGAGTGCAGCTCCAACAACACTCAAGAAGCATGGTACCATATTGCCCACTTGGTAGCTGCAGTATGTGTCATCTCCAAGATTCAGCACAGAAATTCACCAAAAATCCTTAGGCAGCACCTAACAGGAATATTACCAGGTGCAAGTTCTCCTCCAAGTCACTCACCATGACTTGGAAATATATTTGCCATTCCTGGCCCAAAATCCTGGAACTCCTTAATGGCATTGCAGGTCTAGCTGCAGCACATGGATTGCTGTTGTGGTGGTGAGCTGCTGCCTTGAACCACCAAGGGCAACTAGGGATGGGCAATAAATGCTAGCTTAGACAGCAACACTAACATCCCATGAACTTTTTAAGTAACTCAAAATTAACTTTCTCTCTCTGATCTGCCACATCTGCTGAGTTTCTCCAGCACTGGAAGTCTGAAATAAACAGTATTTGCATTGTTTTGTTTTTTTACACTTTTATCCGATTTCATACACACCAAACAGCACCATTTTCATCCTCCCTAACTCCAAAGCTTAATTTTCCTTAAGTCACAGTGACTCCTTTTCTGTGCACGTTTGTCCATGTGGCAGTCAACATTCTTCTAAGTTATTGTTGAAAAGCTCCCTCATTACCAACATGGAACTGACTGACCTATAACTGTCAGTTTTATCTTTCTGCCCTTTTTGAACAAGGGCAGTTCTTTCAGAAAAGCTTGGGGAAAGTACTAAGCATATCTAAAGTTAAAAAGGTAAAGTAGTACATGGCCAACTGGTTAAAAATACATTCAGTAAATTCGAGTCACTGATCCCATTTCTCCTCAGGTTGTTTTGAACAAAGATTCCAGCCTCTCACGTAGTGCACAGTCCCTTTTTTGCAGGCAGTCACATCAAGGTGTTTTGGACAATGTTAGGGGTGAAATACAGTATTACATAGATCAACTCAGAAGAATCATAAAAGCTTCAGAATACAAAGTATAGGCAATTGTAAAGCTAAATCTCATTGTTCTCAGATTGAGAGTGTGGGTGTGGGGAAGAAAAGGGAAACAGTTTTTGCTAAACCCTCAAAAAGAACCAAAATTTGAAAAATGATAGCCAACGAAGAACAGCATATGTTCTTTGATAAATAGAGCTTGCACTCTACATTAAGCATAAACCTAGAGATTGCAGTACTAACATGTTATTGAAACATCCTGCATTAAAGCCTTTACACATTTAAAACCAATTTAGTTCCAATGTTAATTCTTAACTAGTGCTGCATTCAGGGGAAAATATTTCATTTGTACCATTATGAAACACTACAGTTTCAATAGATACAAGCAGCTTAAAGTTTATAACGTGGATAAAATAGCCTTAAAATAAGGCATTTGTGACTGTTTCATTGAGTAGGAAAAAAAGACTGTTCTACACCCAGAAACCTTCCATACATTATTTACAAAGCAATATGCATTAAATGCAAGAAGCCAGTGTTCTAGGCAGGTTGATTGATAAAAAGTAGTTTAATTTTTGGTACATATATAACCAAAGTTAACAATTCTTTTAATGGGAAGGATTCTCCATCATTTAACACAGTAACCCTGTGAAGAAAGTGTTTTCCAACCATGATTTCAGAAAACATCTTGTATCTCCCCCACTGGGTTCATTTAATTTGCAGTGACCACCAAAAGAAATGCACTTAAAGTGGCAGAGCTGAACTGTTCTGAACCATCCTTCCTGTTTTGTGTATTACAAAAATGAGCCTCAAAAACTAATTGTATTCACATGAGTTTCTCAAACCACAAGTCAAAAATCCATTGATCTAACAACCTGCAGTCATTGCATACATTTGAGGACTGATGGACTGTGCTCCTTGGAGTAACAGGTTTGCAAAGAATACATAACAACAAAAGAACCAACTTGATTTAAACCACTCAGCATACTGGCAAAAGGGATTGTATGACCACACAAATTAAGATGCACTTGAAATTCTCCATTCACAATGCAAGAAACCATTAAGACAACACCACTGTTTTAGTTGGGACTGAACAAGTACTCAATTTTGATTTGGACAGAACAACTGTGTAGCCAAAGGAAGGGAAACTGTAATAAAATGGTCTTATTTTCTGGACTTCATCCTCCTGTAAATTCTTGGTAACTTTCAAAAAGAGTCTGAACAAGTTGTATTAAGGTGTAATATAACCCAGTGGTGGTATAATACGTCCTTAATTTAAGAAACTTATCCATTACAAGGCCCACAAGATATTGTCAGTTAGCGGCAAGTGCTGAACCCTTTGAGGCTTAACTTAAGGTAGTGTAAAATTTGTGCCCTTTGATTCAACCCCCAAAGATTCATCAAGAAAGCACTGATTTACCATTAAATCTGAAAATGAGAACCTCCCCAGAAAAATATAAAGCTTCATCAATATGAACTTCAAAAAAAAACCCAACCAAAGTAACTGCAACTGACTTTTACAACCGATAATTTGAAGTCAGATGTCTGCAATAACTTTATTATAGAAAACAGAATTAAAACAAACCAGTGTGATCACTGTAAAGCCCTTAATTTACATTTAGATATTACAGTAGAAAATACAGGAGGTAGAATGCCAAATCAAGACAATTTCTGAACTCCGAAATTCAATTCTACAACCCCTGTGGTTTATTAAAAATACAGAACATGATTTCAATTGACATTCGTCCAAATTCAGTCCTCTTCACTTTCAGACTCAGATTCTGTGGAGAGAAGATGGTGTTACCAGGTGGACAGGCATTTTGTTTTCTTTCTTTAAAAACACAATAAAAACAATGCAGACATTAAAGAAAAAGTATACTTTTGTCAATGAATTCAGCTTTCTTCTTGGAATATTCCAAGTAAACATATTGATGCCAGACTGACCACCGCTGAACAACCTACAACTGCATGTCTTATTCCACTTCCAAACAAGTACTGTCATTACCATCATAGTTCATCTATTAGTTTTGGACTTCCTTGTTCTGCTTGCTGTGAAGCATAATCAAATCTGATTGTTCAAATTATACAGACTGGCATAGGCTTGAAACATACACACTAGTATTCCAACTACATAGCTTATTTACAGACATTGGCTGTGACTTCGGATTCCTTTTGAAATCTTCCTGTGTTAATTCTGTTCAATCTATTGCATAGATCTGTTCCTTTCATAATATAGCTGTGGCACAATACCTATACTTGTCAGCAATAAGTTTTGCTAATTCTTCAAATTTGACAAGTTCAAGTAATTTTTCCAAGTGTTCTTCAAAACATATCCAGGTGAAATCAACAAATGTATTCCGAACAGTGGCTATTGCTATGCTGTCACTGCATTAGCAAAAGATGACAAAATAAGTCTCTGGCTTGGGCAGTATTTGTTTAAAGGAGGGTTGTAGCAGTTCAATTTCCTGCTCCTCCCTCCCTTTGTAATTGTACGATGGATTTTGTTATTCCAAGTTAGGAGGCAGAAAAGGCCCTCAAAATTAGGAGATTATCTGAAACAGCACCCCGTTTAAACATCATCAAGTCCTGAAGCAAAACCTACAATAGATGTTTGTTGCTCAGATTAGTATCACTATTGAGCAAAATACATAAAGCAAAAATCTTACTGGAAAGTAAATTACCAAATATTCCAATCATGCTCTCTAAAACACTCACAGTTGTAAGGATTCAAATTGCAAGACAACTCACTATCAGCATTACTCAAAGTTTGGTTTGACCTGCCATTTACAATTTTAAAAAAGGAACAAGCATGGACTAGTTAAGCCTCTGAACTTGTTCTGCCAATCGAAGAGGTCATGGCTAGCAGCTAAAATTGTGCCATACACATTTGGCCTCCATTACTACACAACAAGCTTGTGTTATAAGTTTTGCTACATCTGGGCCAGGAAGCACGGGTTCAAATCCCACTTGCTCCACAGACGCATAACTACAATACAAGCCTTCGTAAAATACTGTACAATAGATCACACTTTATATCTAAGCAATGTTTCTGTATCAATGCAACAGCGTGACAAAAAGTATGTTATACTATTCAGGGCTTTTAAATCTACAGAAAGTTCAGTTTTAACTAGTACTGCCCTATTTATTCCAAAAGATAATTAAGTTGCAGGGTCTTGATTAAATATTGCCTGTTCTCAGAAGCCATGCATTCCTGCACCCACTGTGAATACATTAACCCATTATATATTACCTTCTTCAGCATTCTTGAGCCACTCGACAAATTTCTTCATCTGCTCCAGGAAGATGCTCCTGCCTTTTGCCATGTTTGGCTCTCGGTACCATTTCAGGATGGCTTCTTCACTCAGAACGTCAGCTATATAAAAAAATGTGGATGGAGGGAAAGACCCCCCCCCCAAAAAAAATCACCACATTAAAAATAAGAATGAAAAAAAGCCTTCCTGTCTTCAAGGATCGATTACTAGATGACAGGAACATGCAGCTTCAATTCCATGTCCAGTGATACAACATGGGCAGTCCCCAGAGTCCCATAAATTCCATGGGACTTACCAGAATGGTTACCACATTATGACAAGCACTTCATAAGTGATCTTGCCAAGCTCTGCATTCTCATATAGTGAATACAAGTTTTGGATGGGATGGGGTAGGAGACAACACGGACTAAATTTATAATCCAGCAATAATTTCACATTTCAGCTATCTATTCTACCTGCTGTTGGAATTGTAAAGTGGCAACCGAAAACTCAGGATTAAGTGCAGTCTCCTCACAGAATGTTACCTTAACTTTGCTTCTGCAAGTATAACAGTATAACTGTAACTTGATAGGTTATGTTTTATTTGCTGCTAGATGTTCCACGAAAACTGGTTCCCCGGTAACCAAAAACCCTTCTATTGAGCAAAATTTTTATTAGAAATAGAAATTAGAAAATGATCTACAATAGCAGATTTTTTTTCTCCTTGTAGAATAATTTGTACATTCATTCTGGTAATTAAAAAAATAAGCCAAACAAATCTTTGTGCAAGCATCTATGAAAACTATTCAACTTATTTCCCAGTTTCGGAAGTCCACTTCTTGATATTTAAGACCTGCACTGCATCTATTGGTGCTAAATTGCACCCATGATACAAGGCAGCAATCTCACTGCCTACAGTCACTTGGAAGTAAGCAATTACATCTTGTTATAAAAGATTCCCAATT